AGATTACCTGTCGAGGGTTAGATTTTGCCTTTAAATGTTGCGAATGCATGAATCAGACCCCAACTTTTTTAATAAAATAATTTGGAGGGATGAATCATCATGCAAACGTGATGGTTATTTTAATTTACATAACCTTCACAGTTGGCAGATAGACAATCCTCACGAAATGAGAGAAGATCGTTCGCAGTACCGGTACAAAATAAATTTATGGTGCGGTATTTTTAACTGTCAGATATTGGGACCTGTGGAACTGCCGCCAACGCTCAACTCTCACAGTTATTTAGAGTTCCTTCAGGAACGGCTTCCAACTATTTTGGAAGATGTACCCTTAAACCTGCGGCGAAGACTATGGCTTCAAAATGACGGGTGCCCTGCTCACTGCGGGCGTGAGGTAAGAGCTCATTTAGACGAAACTTACCCTCGCCGATGGATTGGACGATATGGGCCAATCACCTGGCCCGCTCGATCACCAGACCTGAATCCATTAGATTTTTTCCACTGGGGCTGTCTTAAGGACAAAATTTATTCAAAAACAATTCAAAACGAAGAGCATTTGCGGGAACAAATAAATGGAGCTGCTGCTGAGATAGCCCAATTGAGTTTAAGATCTCTAAAAGCGTCTTTTCTTAAAAGGTGCCGAGCTTGTATTAGAGTAGAAGGTCGCCAATTTGAGCATATTTTATCAATAAATGAATAAATTTTTCTTCAAACAACTCATGTATATCTTATTTCACGTGAACCCATCCTTCACACAAAATATTGATAGATATAGCCCTTGTTATAGACTCTAGTCCGAATTCCGGTAAGTAACATAAAATAATGTCAGAAGCAAGTAATTATGTACCTTTGTACTATTTATACTATTAAATACATTCTAGCGTGTCTCAGTCCTTTACCCACAAAAGCGGCTATAACTTTTTTTTTCTATTCAAAACAGTAAGTGTGGCACCTTTCTGAAATCTTTATTAAATGAGCAAGTTTTTTATGTAATGTAAAGTTATAGCTCAGTACATTTTTTTTTCACCCGAGATAGTCAAAGTTGGGGAAGAAAATATCAAAAAGATAAAAATCCAGAAATAGTCCTAATTTTATGATGGTTCCTTAATATATTTTAACTACATTGCATTTGAGTATGGAGAGGCAACTATCTGGAAGTATTTTACATAAAAAATTTACTAAGTATTGCCCGATTTGTAGTTGCAGTTAAAGAAAACACATGAAAAGGCACGATTTTTTTTAAATTCGAAAAAATGTAAATATTTCAAAAACGGTGACACTTTTACCTGAAAATTTTTTGTTTATCAGTGAGCTCACCTGCCCACCTACCTTCCCCTAAAGTTTGGCACGTTACTTCTGGGACACCCTGTATATATAAATATTTTTTTATATGAGAGTTGAAGTCGGTTTTTTTTTTGCTAAATATTACTAGTTATTATATTCATTGAACTAAATATTCGCTCTACTTCTGCATTACTTATAGGCAAAACAAGAAAACTAAAAACTAGGTTGGAAAGGTCAGCAAAAGGGTTTTCTCCTAGGGCATTTAGAAATTGATAAACTTTGGCCCAAAATTTTACAGTTGAGTCTAAATTACTCCAGGTATGTAACGTTAACCGTTGCCATTGCATCTCTATGGATGTTATTTCGTCGGCATTATATTTGTGTTTTTGTTGCTTTGTGTTTGGTTTAATTACTCTTAATGCATTTCCAACCGAAAAAAGTCAATTTTGTTTAGTGTGGCAATATTTGTAGGGAGGCGTTGGCGTAATTCCTTTATTAAAGTGATAATAAAATAGCGACCATTTTCTCGAATTATTTTCTCGGCTTCGTGGTCAAAAGCGTTTGTGCTTACTTTTGTTTTTAAATACTCTTCAAAACTGTGATAAAACTGTGGAAATGGAGCAAGGTATGGTTCCAACGGGGAGCATATAGGATCAAAGGTGTCCGCGCTAATAACCACTAGGGAGCATAGATGCGAAAGTAAAACATTGAGTTCATTAAAAATCTTCATTGGGTCTGCATTATTGCTTTCGAACAACTTGTTTACTTTTTGCACCTGAAAATTAGGCAAATAGTAAAATCGGCTAAAAACGGCTAACTTTTTTTTACAAACCGGCTAACAAATCGGCTGCCGGCTAGATCGAATTTTCTCCGGCTAGTTGCTATCATAACCGGCTAAATCTAGCCGGAAAACGGCTAAAATGGCAACGCTGGTTACTGATCTTGCCTTTTGTTGCTGTAACAGCATACAAATTCTAAAGAGCTTTTCTTGGGAAACAGCTAATGTGACAAATCATGACCAGGGTCGTTCCGGTAACGTAAACCTCTTCGTGCGTCAGCTGGGGAGCATTGACATAGTCGCTTTAAAGGAAATCACTTCATATTCATCAGTACCCGTTTACTCTATGTGAATGTGGAAGGGGTCTCACTGATAAAAGGAACTCTGCTGGGTGCCCAACACAAAGCGACTCGATGATAAGGCAGAACATTCCCAAGACAGCTGGTTCTATGCACCGGAATGATCCCGTTTAGTACGGCGACGCCATAAATCGTTTTTGGGCTATGGAGCAACATCTTGCAGAAGGATTGCTCCATATCCTTCTTCTCAGGGCGGGTATTGGACCGCAAAGGTTGTGGCTCCGTAATGCTTAAGCCATACGGCATCATCCGCCTACACGGCCACCAACCCGCGTACTATCGCGGGAGCACTTCAGCTCCCTAAGGGCCCGCTCAGTTCCAAGCAGCTCACATCAGCAACAACTAAACTCCCCACGAAGCAGACCACTCAACACCGACTTTGCTCCCGCGGACCACCAAACCTATATCAACTTCAAAAGAGCTCATTGCAACTGCTTCGCTAGCACCTTTGCCGCCCTTTCTACAGGCACAAACGTACACGCTGGTGAACGTCATATCCGCAAGGTTATTACTGCTTGCTTCGCATCGCTGAAGTCCGCCCAAACTTTCCGGCAAAAGCGGCTGTTCTCGCAAATGAGCATAACCACCAACGCAACTGCAAGATTCGGCAACTTGTAAATAAACACGGAAAAGGCAAGACTCAAACGGTGATCAGTGAATTATATGAGTGGTCGGCTGTCGTCAGTAACCTTCCGAGAGCAAACTTCAAACCAAATGAGAATTAAGCAAGGGGTACAACAGGGTGGTGTCCTCTCCTCGTTATTGTTTAACTTCAATATCTCGAAGCTTCCTCAACCACCTGTGGGAGTTTCCCTGATCGCATGCCGACTGTTCGATCTTGGCGTCCGAAAATGAAATTGCTGAACTCTGCTCGAAAGTAAATGTTTACCTCTCCGAACTTATTCGCTTCATCACTGCTTAACCCACTCCCCGAAGAAGTCAACGGCGACGCTCTTCACCACTTGGACGAAGGAGGTCAAGCTTCAACTAGGCATTCACGTCGATGGCACACCAACTCCGTTATTGAACCACCAGAAAATCTTAGTAACACCCTTGGACAGCCTGCTCTCCTTCTCGCACACGTCCCCAATTGTTGATTGGGTACAGATCCGCAACAACGTTTTCAAGTCCCTAGCCGGGATCACCTGGAGCAAAGACAAAGAACGTTGGCAACATTCAAGGCATTTGGCCGACCGGTTCTAAACTATGCAGCACCCGTGTGGTCGCCTGGGGTTTTCATGACGCAGTGCACGAAGCTACATAACTACTAAAACGCGTCACACCCTCCACCTAGGCACGTCAAAGGGCATCTTTTCGAATGTAAGGATGCGGTCCAGACCTCCATAAACCAACCACTGGACCCTACGATGTACAGAAAAGTGATCAACGGCATTCGTAGTGTCCGTCAACATTTTTACGACACTCGATCAATGAAGGACGTAATAGGAGTCCAATCTGCACCTGATCCAGACACAGAGCTTCGACTGCCACATCACTATGGCCCATTTAAGTTCTAGATACTGTAGCCGTCTCAACAGCTACTTATCCAGACTCGACCCCGATATTCCTAATGAGTGTCCTGCATGTGGAGATTCCCTACATGACACCAACCATCTCTTCACATGCCAACTCAAGCTAACACCTCTGGTCAAACACCCTCGAAACGGCTCATTTCCTGGACCTACTATTATTTGAGCTTGACGACGATTGATGTACAAACCGACTTAGACGAAACTTAGTAATTCCGCAGCAATAACACCAACAACAACGTTCGGCGTAGGAACATCGGATTTGGTATCAAAGGTGTTAGGTATCCATGGCACTGGTTATGGTGCGGGGCACCGAGGGAACCGGCTGTAGTGCAGTTTCAAGAAGGCAAACGTTTGCGATGACTTCGGCGGTAGTTATTGAAAAGATGAAGTGAAGGTGAGCCACTATTGAGGTTCAAGGGTTTGCGAGGCCGAATCTTTCTGTCGAAGAGAGGAATTTGGTGGCGAAAAGATCGATACTTCGCTGATAAAAATACAAACCGGCCGATGTCGGTTTATATCTTGCACCTGATACATGAAGTTATAAAACAACATTCTTTTTTATAGCTGCTGTCCTTCGACAGACAATTAGGGTTCTGACATAAAAAACGATTCTTATCTGCTGTTCGGCGCCGAGAAAGACCTGAAGGCACACACCATGAAAAAACGCACAAATACGTAAATAATACTCTAATAGGTTTGAAGCGAGTGTAATTATTTAAAAAGTTCTGACTTGTTCTGATAATTAAACGATGTAACATAGCCGCGATTTTCAAATTATATTTCAAAATTCATATGGAAGGACTGCTTAATTGAATTGTAACCTTTAAGAGACATCAGTAACCTCACATAGAGCCCTCTGCGTAATTTATACTAAAAGTTAGACGCTTCCATATATACGTCAAATTATAGATACATTCGATAAGCTTTTTTGTGCCTTTTACATTCTTTTCTTGTTTCAAAAATGCGTTATAATACTTAAAAACATTAAATTATGTATATTTAAGAAAAAGCTTGTATAAAAGTTGAAAATTTAAGAAAAACTTTCAATTACAATTAGAAGAAGCCTATTTTGTATTTGTTTTATTTTCATATTTGAGATTCATTTATGTAATAAATTTTAAAACAGCATTATAGCATAAGTGGTATCAGCGGGTTTTTATAAACAACTAAAATTTGTGTCTTGGTTTTTACTGTTAGATCCCATCTTTTCTCCACAATATTTTTATGAACACGCTTAAGGATGAATTTATTTTGAAAATCTTTCTATAACGCGTAATTCTTTTTTTTATAAATATTGAAATGATTCTTAATAAACAATTTGTTCTTCCGCAGTTTTAAAAGTAATACAAAACAAAATATGGAAAGTAAAAGTCTCTTCTTTATGATTCAATATGGAAGTACCGAGGTTCACTTCATCTGGCTTAAAATAAATATGTATGTAAAAGAAATTCGCAAAAATATGTCTAACTATAGTAGCTGTTGTCAGAAAAAATATAGAAAAGTATTTATATATATATTCGTATACATATGGGATGTTCCACGTCAACCGGAACAAGGCTCAGTCCAAATCTCACCTTGATGGATTTTAATGATCATTTCTCTTTCACATCGCATTACAGAGTAGCACCCCTGGACTCAAAATGTTCGCTACTGATCGCCCTTTGTGGGAAAATGTAAACTTTTCGGCGGGTGGAAACCTGAGAAAAATAGAGATCTTGAATTAACACACCTGTTAAATAAAAAATTGACTACCGATTTATCTCTTTTTGTTCTAAAATTTTCGGTAATGGACGTTCCCAAGAAACTGATATGATAGGTTGGCTATATTCAACATGTTTAACTTTTATGAAACTTGGAATATAGGAGTCTTTCGGGTCGCTGATTGCGAATCTGTAAACATATATTTTTTTTTAATGGCGGATCCCATATGGCGGGCATATTTTTAAAAATTGTTTGATTCTTGTAACGTTTTGGACATGCATCTTTTAAAAGTTCTAAATGGCGGATCCAATATAACGGTTCGATTTTCGCGACATTTTTATAAATTCGTAATCAGTGAATCCCCTAAATGAAAAATGTCAGGAAAACCAAAATTTTTTTCGAAAAGTTGTCCGCCTTATTGGATCTGCAATTTTGAATTAAAAAAAATATTATAGGTTCTTAATCAGAGACCTCCTCCATGTTGAATTTAGCCAACCTATCTGACCAGTTTGGAACGTCAATTACCAAAAATTTTAGCGCAAAACCAGATGATTCGGTCTTGAATTTTTCGTTTAACAGGTGTTTTAATTCAAGAACTCGATTTTTCTCAGGCTTCCCGCTGTCATGTTGAGCCGACATTTTGAAGATTTCGAAAAGATCATATTGACCCATCAAGGACGATCAATAACAAAAATTTTAAGCCCACGATCATTAAAATAAATTAACGTGAATTCTGGGAAGAGCCCTGTTTCGCTTGACGTGGAACGTCCCATATACATATTTATAAACAATTTCTAGTCCATTTTGACTGATTGTATTTTTTCGCATCTTATATGAATATGCTTACTTGTTTTGTTCACTACCATTCACACAAGCAGGTGAGTTGCTTTTACTACTGTTGGTCGGTTGGTTATCCCCACCTGCTATGACAGTTGCTGGTTTGTTATCAGCTGACGTCGTTGATTTAGCACCGCAGCTTATGTTGGTAGCGGTAGTATTATCAGTACAACTTCCTTCCTCGCCATGATGACTGGCAGAGCTTTCAGCTACTTCAGATTCTACACAACTGTTGCTGTCTACTTGTGTACTTTCCTTTGATAGCAGATTAATTTTACTTCTATCTCCACTGCCACCTGTACTATTACTGTTACTACTTAACGCCATGCGCTGCATTTGTCGAATAACGGTTGCGGCATAATATGCTTGCTACAATGAACATAAAAAAAAGCAACGATATGTAATGGAATTAATAAGTATAATACACAAAATAAATATACAGCACTTTCCAAAGCAAATAAAACCTGAATTATTAAATTTTTTTGCGAAGTCCAATAACACATAGTAATGGTCTTTTTTATTATCGACGAAATAACACCCTTCCATAGAGAGAGCCGTGAACCGCGAACCGCTAACAATCTCTCTAAATTTAAATATTTTATGACTTTCTTTCTATCGGTGCAATATTGTATTTCGAATAGCAGATTTTTTCCACAATTTTTCGTAATGTAGGAGGTCGGCTCCAGTAACCGATTTTGTATGAGGTCTCGAACCTGCGCACAGCGTGTCCTGTAGAATAAGCTAGGTGTACAAAATTATTTACGGATCGTTTTGGGATATATTCAAGATGCTGATTTCCGATATACTATCCATTTTTCAGATTGGTTCTTGTGTGCGAATTATTGCGAATATTGCAACATTATGTATTTTCCATCACCATGAGAAAAATGTACTTACTAAAACGAGTATGGAAGCTTCGAACTCGCACAAACGGGAGATACATAAGAGTGGTAAACGCCTACTGCGTAAAAGTCTAAATCGAACGCCATTATATAATTACTAGGTACTCTTTGATCTATAGCAACAAGTCTGGCCTTTATTAATTAATAGTTAATGAATTAATTAATTTGGTAAAAGCTCCGCAGCTATAGAACAAGATTTATTTATTTATTTATTTAATACGTTTTTAGCCTACGAAACAAAAATTTCTTACAGACTATTTAACACTAATTCTTAAGGTAAGGCATAGAATTTAAAATATTCTTAAAAACTGATTTAGGAAATAAATCTAGTTCGATAGAATTTGAGATCTGATTAAATTCATTAATAGCACGCTCAATAGGCGAGTTACGGACATAATTTGTTCTGCAGCATATAAAGGCAAGGAAAAACGCAGGTTCCTCCGCGGAATGTTAAAATTAATTTTTCCCAAGAGCGCCGGACAATCAATTACTCTCTCTAATCTCGCTCTAATCTATCTATATGGAATTGATGGAAAGGACGCCAGATGATTGCAGGCGACATATAATAGTTTTAAAGTGTATGGATCGGAGAATTCGGTGCTGCTCCGCCGCACAAAATCAAGCTTAGCAAACAATTTGGAAATAATAAAATTAATATGAGCGTTGAACAAAAATTTAGAATCAAAGGTGACACCAAGATCCTTAATTTCTTGAACCGACTGGAGGGTACCATTTGAAATACGGTTGGTTCTTGTGTGCGAATTATTGCGAATTTTGCAACATTATGTATTTTCCATCACCATGAGAAAAATTTAGTAATTAAAACGAGTATGGAAGCTTCGAACTCGCGCAAATGGGAGAGACATAAGTGTGGTAAACGCCTACTGCGTAAAAGTGTAAATCGAATGGCATTATATAATTACTTGGTTGGTTTTGTGCGGCGGAGCAGCACCGAATTCTTCGAGCGAGATTAGAGCGAGTAATTGATTGTCCGGCGCTCTTGGGAAAAATTCATTTTAATATTCCGCGGAGGATTAGAGATAAGAGCCAAAAGGTCTTTCTCAAATTTGCTTTACGTTCATTGCATTTCGCTGATCCTCTGTCGTTTATTACTGTTAAACTTAAAAGCACTAGATAAAAAAAGATCTATCCTCTCATTAACTTTCGTTTTTTGCATAATACAAGGTGTAATTGATTGTCCGGCGCTCTTGGGAAAACAGCGTTTTCTAGAAGGTGGCATGAAAACATTTTTTCACATTAAGGGATAGGCGAGTTCTTAAGCACCACAAATATACATCATCAAGTTCATATTGAAGTTTTGTTATATCAGTTGTGTTCTTAACAATTGAAAAACCCTTCAGATCGTCAGCACATGGGTAAATCTTCGGAGCCGTGTGTTTTTGAGGTGAGTAACACCTTCATATTAATTTTATTAATGTAATTTTACTTTTCATAAAAAACTTGGGCCATTTTGATAACAAATGTGACGAGTACTTGTAACTTATTTAATTTCTTTTATTTTATTAAAGTCATTTTAATTTTTATAAACAATCAAAGTAATTAAAATAACAATTTTGACGTGTCACTTTCAATATTACAATTCAATTCAATTTTCCAATATTACATTTACTATTTGCCATGATTTTTGAATGTCTCCGTTTTGCGCTGAAAAAGTTATACACAAAAAACGCACAAACGGTACCCAAAGTGACACGTCAACCGTTTGTGCGTTTTTTGATTAATGCATTTTAGGTGTTGAGAAAAAGATGTGCTGCTCATTGGAAATAAATGGTAACAATTTGAAATCATTCACTCGTAATTATCAAAAAGGTAATATCTTAAGTTCTTTTTCATTTTGCACTTTCAGCGATTACTAAATTGTTCTCATTTGTTTATATACATATTAATTACACATTAAGGAATAAATTAAGACCTTTTGCAGCTGTGGGCCTTTCAAAATATTGAAAATATAACAAATGTTGTCTAAATAGGTCTGAATGGCAACAAATTTCTATTTTTTTTGACAGCACACTGACAGACTTAAACATAAAAGGTTGGAATTAAAAGTGATCGTTAGACAACATTCTTCATAAAGTTCGTTGAAAATGCTAAATATATAAAATAACTTTTGTCTAAAATACGGCCATGAATATATGTGTGTGTATGTAAAGGATTTTCAGATCTTTGGCCAGTGCGGTTAACGTATTTTTAAATATATACTAAAAAATTATATCTTCAATGGATCTTAAGCAAAAATTAATTTTCCGTTAATTTTTTTGGAAACCGGGCGTGGCCCGCCCCCTTATGTCAAATATTTGTATCTCGAAAACCACTTCATCAATCTATACCAAATTTGATTTACACATTGCGCCTGACCTTCTCAAATACTTTCTTGAACATTTTTGAAATCCCAACTGTATTCTGCGAATAAACTATAGTCTTGAAAAAATACATAGTTTGTAACTGAAGGCGATTTTATCAATGGAATATATAGAGGCAAATTCGTAAAAGTCAAACTTAAGAACCAGAGGAACATGATGCATATCAGGAGACGAGACTGGGGATAAACACTCAGTCACACTAAAGTTAATAGTATCACTGACAAAATTAGATCCAAGATTCTATCGAGCTTATTTTTGAAGTTATTAACTTGAAGTAGATTCAAACTTAAAGTATACCAATAAAATATGATTCAAACCTAGAACAAACATTAGTAGGAGTAAGACCGGAGTTGCAATAACTATGAGACCAATTAAGATTACAGAGATTAAAATCACCTAGTAATCAAATATGATTTTCGCCTAACTTATTAATAGTTAGTGATATAATGTCAAAGATATTTGTTAAAGATAAGATGACAAATTCTGATGCATCTCTATTTGTTTTCAACTAAAATTTTTCTACAAAGTTTTATGTAATTTTCAAACATAAGCGAAAGAAAGCATAAATGCGTTCTAGAGACTTACATATGCTCTCTCGGCGAAGCTGAGTACATAAGTGTCCAAATTCAAAGTCTTTCCAAGGATAGCAGGATATAAAATTCAGCATTGCTCGTTACTCATCTCCCACAAGAGCATACGATCCTCTGGAACATCTTTCCGAATCCGTTTAAGTATATTTTTAAGTTATTTATACATAGCGATTTTCGACAAGTTATACATACTAGTATTCGCTCAGAGGTTGAAATTCAACCTCTAAAATTAAGGGGAGTTGAGGTGGGCTGAGCTGAGCCGAGTTGATTTTAATTGATTTAGTTGAAGTCAATTGAGCTGAAATGCGTTGAATAACATAACAGAGTATAACATACACAAAACAATACAACACATTACAAAACAACACAACAAAATACAGTACAAAACAATACAACAAAACGAAACACAATACAACACATCACGACTCAATACAAAACAATACAACATATATCGTCGCTACCATGCCAAACTATCGAATGTACGAGAATGCTTTTTCAATTACGATACCTTGCGAATGCACTTAGATTGATACGCAAATTGGCAAATCGTCAAATTTCGAGTCTTCTTAGAAGCAGAGGATAAGTGCTCGAATCCCGCACTTGAAAACCTACAAAAAAATAGTTCGGTTCGGTTCAAAAACCACTAAAAAAGTTTGTAAGTTTTGTAATACACAACTTTATCTAAAAATGAAACGTTATGGTAAAACTGCAAACATTTTTGAGTTTAATGGCATCTCCGTGGGTTATATTTCGTCCATATAAAAAATGTCAAACTTGCACTTATCGTATTACATACATTAAAGTTGAATGAGCTATAAAACTGCATCCTCAGATTTTGTTTAGTTGTGATTAAAAAGTTTTAAACTATAATGACATTTTTTTGAAGTTTGTAGATTTTTTCTAATTTTCGTACAAAGATTGAAATTTGGATTTGTATGGTTGTTGTTATATAACGATCCTATACTTTTATTATAAAACAATGAACATTAAACCAACAAAAGAAAAAGAGTCAAATATCACAAATATATTATTTTGACCATAGGTATACCTGTACATATGAGGTTAAGGCCTAGTATAAGCTCCAACCTACCAAAAATGAGGGTTTCAACATTAACCCATTTGCGCTCTCTGTACTATATAAACGACACCAATTCAACCCACGTTTAAAAGTATACTATTATTATTAAAACGAAATTGCTTTAATAAGTTTGCTCCTACTGGTATTAATTTCACTTCAGATAGAATAAAAGATAAATAGGTCTAACTGGGGATACCGGATTTGGACAATTACAAATCGACTTTTCACATTAGAAGTGGTCCACATGAAAAGCTGGGATGTTTTCTTGAATTATTGCAAATTGCTTTAAAATATCCGATATTATAAAGTGGAAAGAGAGTAAATTAAACAAAACGTTATGCCTTGTCAAGTAATGGGCCGTATGAATAAAAACCAAGCAATTGCTTTTTCTTAAAATTTCATACCTTTTACTTCAATT